AAATCATTCAGCATTTCCAGAGTAAATTTCTCCATTTCCAAAACAGGGCTGACACTGGCACAATCTACCATTTAATGTAATTGTGAAGCTTAAATGAGGATTACCTCATTTATGTATGTAAAAATGCTTGTAAACCTTAAAATTTGGTATGACAAATACAGTTATTATGATACGTATGATCCTGAGATAAGCATAAAAATAAGAAATTTGAGGAAAGTGTTATGAGAAATTTGAGGAGGGAGAGATCACTTTCAAAATGAAGGAGGGATCAACTTTATGGCAAACTTCATGGAATAGGTAGCAACTGAATTGGACTTTATAAGAAATGAGGACATCAACAAATGCCTTTGGGGGTAAGGGCATCCATTAAAAGCATGAGGGAACCATGTGGGTGAAGCACACAACTGGAAAGGAACAGATAAGAAAGGAGATAAAGAATTGTCCTGGTGGGGTAGAATGTACACTACTAGAAGGAGAGTTACATGAGTTAATTAAGTACAGGTAAACTGATGCCAGCTTCAACAAAGCAATAAAACAAGCGTTTATTAAGCACTTGGTGTTCGTTGCCTGAAAGCATAAAGAGCTCCTACCCTCAAGGAGCTTACATTCTAATGGGGAAACAACATGTACATAAATAAGTATTATGAGATACCTGCAGAGTAGGTAGAAGGTAGCTTTGGAGGGGAAGACAGTAAGGGAAGACAAAAGGTGGCATGTGAGCTTCAAAATGCTTGAAGGAAGGTGAGGATTTTAAGAGGTGGATGTGAAGAGAGATCATTCTAAATATGGTGAAAGAGCCAGGGCAAAAACATGGAGATGGCAATAAGAAGGTCACTTGAGTATTTGTAATACACAAAGGTAAGGAATGTATAGATAGACAGGAGAGACCTGGAAAAGGGAAAAGGACACCGCATTGATGTGATTTGTCTTAGGATGCACAACTCTCAAATGATAGTTCTATCTCTAGAGCTTTACTATTACAAATAGTCAAGATCCTTTGATCAGAGCACTCAGGGATAATACAGTATTTAAAAATAACAATGGCTTCTTGTTCTATGATACTTTTTCCTTAAATTATTCTTTTTGTTACTCCCACACTAATACATCTATCTAGTCACACTACTGCTGAATCTATTTATTCCAACTCTAGATATGTAGTTCAATACTTTAGTGAATCTGTTTCATCATTCATGTCTATATTCTCCCCAGGGATGCAGATTGCAGCCTCTGAACACCCACTCATTTTATAAGATTTTTGTCTGCAGGTGAATACTTCATAGAGGATCCATCAAACTATTGGAGGTCTCCCTCTGATTGTATCATTTCATGGCACTTTTTATTTTTCAGGGCAATTGGGGTTAAGGGACTTGCCCAGGGTCACACAGCTAGTAAGGGTCATGTGTTTGAGGCCAAAATTGAACTCAGGTCTTCCTGATTCCAGGGCTGGTTCTCTATCCACTTTGCTACTTAGATGTTCCAGCCATTTCAACGATCTAATTAGACTTTTTGATGACTGCCCACTTCCATTCAAAATTTGGTGCTTCAATAGGTATGTGCACATACACACACACACACACACACACACACACACATATCTTTAGGAAATATCACTTTTCTTCCAGATAGTTAAGAGAACTCATATGTCAATAAGGGAAATCAGGCAAATGTTACTTCACATATAAGCTTTTGGAATGCTTACAATCCTTTAATGTTTGGACTTGAGATTTATAGAGGTATGCAAGGAACTATCATAGGCATGACAGAGAGTTGGATTCAGAACCAAGACAACCTGGGTTCAAGTCCTACTTTTGATATATATATTTGCTATGTGATCCTGGCAAGATATTAAACTTCTCAGTATTATAGTCCACTGTGAAATCACATCAGTTGGCTGTCAAAAGGGATAGGTAACTGGATTTGTGATTTCATTGAAAAAGAGAACTTCCTCAAGTGAGGAAATTCCATGTACCAAAATATAGAACTTCCCTAAAACTTAGTTTTAGTTGCTGAGAGTACAGAGAGTTAATAATTTTTTAAGGTCACAAGGCCAGTGCAGAGCACAGGTAGGAATTGAACCTAGGTCTTTTTTCAGTTCAAGAGTGGCTCTGTATATCATGCTTGCTTTAAACTATCACAAAGCTTTCAGGATTGCAGGGTCTTGAATGATATAGGACAACACAGAATAATAATTAGTAGTTAGTAATACAGAGGGATAACCGGTTTGATAAAATCTCGTATCCATTTGAGTATTGAAGTTCCATGTAGAAGGCCCACTCCAAGAGATTCAAAGAGATGGCATTCTCTTTATCATTTCCCCTATTCCCATGGCCTAGGCTTCTACTTCTACTCATATCCTGCAGCACCTTCCATCTCGATCCATGATGCTTTGATTCTATGGCCTCCTCCTCATCCCTTATGCCATATTTTAGTGCCTACTCTTTTGCCATCTATCATTTAATCTATTTTTAGAATAATGTGGAATTGTGAACCTTAACTTAAAGCCTCTCTTATGAATGATAATAAGGACAAAAGTCTTCTATGAAACTTTGCCAAAAATGTGTTGCTGAGTGAGATGGAGCACTGTGGAGACCACCCAGAAGTTTCAACTGGTACATGGTGAAGCAGCTCATATGCACAAAGGCAAGGCCACATGGAGCATGTAAGACCTGGACTCCATAGTGTGTGCTTCTAAAGGAAGGGTGGGGGAAGGGGAAGACTTTTGCAATCCAGGAGGGCATGAAGAGTTGGGTTTGGGTTCCCTTGGCGATGTTTCTTTTTCTTCTTTACTGTAAAGTTTGTGAGGTAAGTCAAGCTGCTAATAATAAACCCCAAGGAGTCTATCAAATTTTCAAATTTTTTGTCCACCTCAGCTTTGGCAGGATGGTTGATGTTCAATATTTTAAAAAATAATAATAGCTACATACTAGGTGTAGTGGCAATTACTATAATTATTAGGATCATTGTTATTATGCAGGGGATCTTTGGTCAGATTTTTTTCTGGGATGAGTCTAGAAATTTGCTTGAAGCCCATACTTTCTGAAACTTTTAAGGTAGAATGCAAGGCCCATCTGTCCAACTAGACATTTGCCCAATGAGGCTGAAGGGGTTTTGGCAAGTGTAAATGAGAATTGAAATACCAGATATGAGATTCTTAAATGTGAATTTATTTTAAATAATTGGAGCCAGGGATGCTAGGTCTAAAGATACATTTTAGAAATGAAAATAGTCAGAAACTGATTTTTATTTTTAAGGAAGCGGGTTATGGATTTGGAAAGGGAAAAAAATGGACCCACTAAAACTTTTCCTTGATATTATTTCTGTTGTAATTCTTGCTATGAAAGAGTGCACAGTGCTGAAGTAAATGCTTCTGAAAGACTCATTATGAAATACTGGAAAGCGAAGTAGAATATACTAAAATCGTATGATATAGTGCTAACCAGAAGGAGAATAATACATAAATGTTTTCTTGATGATGTGTGCTAAAGCAAAAGGCATTTAGGAGCAGGGTTGTCAATCTCTGAGGGTTCTGAAAAGAATTGCTATTTATGACGTGTTAGAGTAAACAGTTGGATTACATTTCTGAAATGCATGTTCCATCAGGTAAAATCATTGTGATTACAGGCACTAGTACTGTAAGTAAGTTATGTGCTAAAAGGTTGAAATTGTAAAACAAGTATGCTTGTGCTTAACTGCTAATCCCTCTTTGTATCTACACTGAATAAACTACAAGAAAAGGGGGAAAAGGGACATTTAAATAATAAGGCAGGAAAGGCATGTTATGTCATCTTGGTAAATAATGGGCTTTATCCACCATAAGGAATCATTCTAACAGTGGCCTATCCAATAAAGATTATCCCAGAGTTAAAGGAAATAGGAAGGATTATAAAGAAGTTATTTCTGCTTCCCTCAGTTTAAGTAGATTGGTGCTTCTTTTGTTTGCTTTTAGATTTTCCTTAATTTCTGCTTTATTTTCTGGCCTGTCACAGAAAAGCACAAGTTGGCATTTTAACCACTGTACAGAAATACATTTCAAATAAAACCAAAATAAAAGAATGACTTTAAGTGCTTTGCATTTGTTTCACAACAGAAGATAATAAATGTAAATAAATCTTTAATATTCCCTTAATCCAGTTTGTGCTATGTAAATGTCAAGATAATATATTTATAAAAAACAAATCAACAAATATTTGAAGAAAAACAATATACACAACTTATTTTATATATTGAAAACAACTGTCAAACAATTATGACCTCATGTATTAGTTGGTTGTTTTGAAATATTCCTACCAGGATAAAAAAAGGGCTAGGAGGGCCTTTGAGCTTGAACATATTGTGTCAATCATGAGCATATGCAATGTAGCTAAAGCATGAGGTAAAAATTTTCTTCGTAAATTATTTCATAAATAAATAATTTGCCTGAAAAGGTTTATGAAAATATTTTTTGCTTTTATTAAGTTCTCCACAGATCTTTTGTGGTCAATGTAAATGGATTGATATTGACATCATCTTGATCTGCTTTAACTTGAAATATAGAAGGAAAGCAACTTGCAGAGATTTTCCTTTTTCTTTTTTTTAGGGAAATGTTAGTAATATCAAGTTTGTGAAACAGTATTTATTAAGGCTTCAATTTTCAGTGATCATGAACAGCACTGATGGGTGTTAGTACCTGAAGTGTCACTTTAGCCTTTCATTTAAGGGATATAATTGACCCTTAGACAATTGGTCTTGGCTTTTTGTATAATATATAATTTAGGGTGTACTTGTTGGTAGGGTTTTACATTATTGCAGGTAGAAAAATGCAGGTCATTTCAAAGCTTTTGTCTTTTTGAAGGCATGTAATTTAATTTTGCCAATTTATTTAATCATTGCGTATTTACTATAAATAAGATTTGTACTCTTACAAGTTAAGTTGGAAATAAGGAGAACTAAGAAAAAGCTCACTTACCTCCTTTAAAATTTCTTCTACCAATAAAGTTTATCTGTGGAGGATTTTTTTTTTTAAGGAACAGAGAGGAGGGTATAAGAAGACAGCTCTTGTTATATATTTACTATTCAAACCTTGCTCCTAAGATGCTCTAGCCTCAGATAATATTACTCGTACAACAGCTTCAGTCATTTTCAGCATTTTAACCCTTTCACACACAAACATTTTTGGGGGTTAGCCTTGTAATTATCAGAAACATAATTTAAAGTCTCTGTTACCTCTTATTTATATGGTAGACACACTCCATAAATCAAACTTTTAAGTGTGTCATGGCAAATGAAGGTGTTACTCCAATCTTTCTTTTTGGATGCAATTCTTCTTGAGGTGTCACACATATTTCCATATAGGTCAACAATTTCATTTATAGCTTTAAAAAATAAAAGGTCTATTTAAAAAATATAAATATCTTTTACTATGGAAATTGGTGGTTGACGATATTAAATGATTCCAGGGTATAAGTATGCAGATGGTTATTAGTAGCTGACTGTAAGATTTACTGAAGATTTTGATATTAATTTTCCCTTCATGCTGGACTTTATATTATATATTGTACAAATGTAACTCTGTTCCAAAATTAATTTCAATTGATGATAATATATGAGTAGTTCTATGCATGTAAGAGGTTACTGTTCTTATCCCACCTTCAGGGAATATATTGTGTGCCTCATTGTGAAATTATATTTTGACTACCCCTTTCACTTGACAAGTTTCTCTATTCCAAATGAATTATTGCCCCTTTAGCCATAAAGAGTGTAATAGACACCTTACAAAAATACTTAGGGGATAAACGTGTACTAAAAAGGAATCGAATAACAAATTTGCCTGTCTAGGTATGCAATAAACACAAATGGAGACCATACAGGAATAGGATGATGACTCTAAAAGACATATGGTTCAGTTTTCTAATTTACATTTGATTTGCTTTTTCATCTCAGAAGAGAGTCTATATCACAAAATATGTTTGCCATCTTCCTTGTAAAGAAAGAGGAAAGAACCATTTCCTGGGGAAAATATTTTTTGAGGAAATTGCTTCATTTTTACCTAACATTTTCATGATTTTGCCTTTTTAATTTCTATTTTAAATCATCTTATAATTTTAATAAGCTGTTTCTCCATTTGGCACAAAATTAGTTCAGAATGACTTGTACAGAGGAAAAAACATGTCACTTAAAGTCACCCAAGTGAGAAAAATTATGTCCAAATGCCCAATAAATGTTTGCTTATTTTTTTTAACACCTACTATGGTTTGAATATTCGTGGTAATTTTTTACACACTGATGAGCTTTAGAGGTGAAAAACATCACATTCAGAAACATTGTCGGGGAAATTGATTAGAAACAATGAAGGTTCTGAAATAAAAATGTGAAATGCATTTTTAAAAGTCTATAAAAGTTCTATTCATTGCTCCTCATCTGTTAATAGAGAAGCCAAACAATAACTATTCTTCTCTACTAATATTAGAAAGACATTCCAATTTTATTTGCTTGATGGAATCCCTGAACTCATCCCAGAGAGGTATCCTTAGATCAGAAAACTTCAGTAACATCCCTCTGCACTTTTCCAACTTAGGAAAAAGTTCAAGTTGTTCTGTCCCAGGTCTCTTGTAATAAAATGCAAGGAAAACACTAACCACCAAGGAGGTGGCCTTAGACTCCTTTATCTCTCTCTGTCTCAAACACAGATACACGCGCATAAATCCTGTGTAGTTTTAATAAAGGGGTAGAAGAAAAGAAAGTAAATAAAGTAAGATAAAAATTTTAAGACTTAACTTTCATAGAACTCCCCTCCTTTTAAATCATAGCATCAGTCTCGGGTTCCTTTCTTGACATTAGTTCAGTCACCCCCATACCCCCTCTCCTTGTCCTCCCTTTAAGGTAAGTACTTGATTGCTTGGCATATTTCCCATAAAACTTTCAGAATCCCTCTCCCCCCCACCTAACTACCACAGAGATATAGACATACTGGGAGGGGGGAGGGTGCAGAGTGAAGCTGGCCAGCTTTTTAGATAGGGTTGTGTAAAATATCACGGTAAGAAAGCCCGGGTGTGTGTATGTGAGTGTGGGGGGAGGGGGGTGGCTTTCCTTTCGGATGTTCCACTACAGTGGAGCTCTTTCAAACTCGTAATAATTGTCTGCTCCAAAGCCGTCCTTTCCCCCTTGGCGGCTGCAGCGGATGCTGCCTTGGGCTCAGGAGGAGGAGTTGCAGGAGGCGGCAGCGGCGGCGGCGGCGGCGGCGGCGGCGGGGACGGCGGTACTGTCTCTTTAAGGGAGCTCAGGCTGGGGTGGCGCTTTCCTCTGCGAAGGCTCCTTTGATATTAATAGTGTTGGTGTCTTGAAACTGACGTAATGCTCGAGGTCCTGACAAGCGATAACATTTCTGATAAAGAACTGATCTCACTGCAATCTAAAGCCTCTTCTTTTTTGGTGCTTGTTGTTGCTCCAGACCCTGGGTTTTCGCTTTTTTTTTTCTTCTTTAAAACAGAAAAGCAAAAAAAAAAACAAAACCCAAAACCCACATCAGGCACATCCTAGATCTATTTCCTTTCTCTTTCTCTCTCTCTCTTTAAAAGAGGGGGGGGAGGGAAAGGAGAGGGGGGGAGGCAGGAAAAACCTTTTTTTTCTCCCCCCCTCCACACCGCCCCCCCCAACCGTCCCCCCCGAATAATCCAAGATCAACTCTGCAAACAACAGAAGACGGTTCATGGCTCTAGCCACCGCTCCACCATCTTTCGGGCTGCTGAGGTTATTATTGCCGATTAATCAACAGGTAAGGAGGAGGGGAAAAAAAGGCAAAGAGGGAGAGAGAGAGAGAGATCAGCCGGAGGAAAAAAGAAAGGCATGGGGGTGATCAGCTTTTCTTTCTCGCTACGTAAGATAATATTGCGCACGTTGAGTGTGGCCATGCTAAAGTGTTCTCTGTGTGTGCGAAATGTGGGTGAGCTGAGAGAGGAGGATTGGGAATTAAAAGTGACTTTCTTTGCAAAAAGGAGAGAGAGTAAAAAGCAAAGCAGAGCGGGTTCTCGGATTTCACATGCATTTTTTTTATGCGTGTGTGTTTTCTTTCTTTTTTTCCTCCTTTTCTTTTCTTCTCTCCCTCCCCCCACCCCCCGGTTTTGGTGGGTCAAAGGCGTGTGAGCTCTGGAAACTGGCGACTTCAAACTGCAGTAGCCCCTGGAGTCAGGAGGGTCAAGTTCAGCTGCTGAGGAGGAGGAAAAGCAAATCCCCATTTGCCAAAAAAGAAGTTTCAGGGCTGATGTCCCCCCACCCCCTCCCTTTCCCCCCGTTCCCTTCTCCCCCTCGTCTCTTTCTTTCTGATTTTAATTCCCTACCATCGGGCAAAGTAGAAGAGCAGGAGGAGGTTGCAACTGAGGAGCTGCTGCAGTCATAGCCCAGGCTGCTGCTGCTGCTGCTGCTGCTGCTGCTGCTGTTGTTGTTGTTGCTGCTGCTGCTGCTGCTGCTGCTGTTGCTGCTGCTGCTGCTGCTGGAAGTTTTATGGGAATCATGACAAGCGGGGCAGAGACTAGAGACCATCATGAAGAGTAGTAAGTTGAGAGAAACTTTTTAGGGTTGGGAAGGAATGAAAGGAAAGAGGGGAAGCGAATGGGGTCCGTTTACTGGTCCTCTAAATGGCAAGGAGGACCTGATTCCGGGTGGCTTTGAGAAAACTCTCAGACCCAGGCATAAAACTTTTTCTTTTCCCCTCTCTCTTTAAAGGCAGAGTTGCAGTGTCCCCATATTCTGGTGTCTCTGCCGAGAGTGGTTTTTAGAGACGTGGGCCAGTTTGCTTTTGCGATTTTCATTTTGTATGACAGGGCTTTGAGAAAGGGACGCTTCTTTAAATGAATGGGGGCTGTGAGAAAGAGGAATACTTCCTATTTAGTCCGTGATGGGAAAGTGTGTTGGGGGTAGTGCTGACAGTGGGGCTAATTATTAAAAGCTACCACAGTAGTTTGAATTTAAGTAGCCCATGGTGGGCTATGCAAGCAGTCTCTTAGCCTTCTGAAGCTGGTGCTCCCTGGGCTTTGATGTTGGTCTTGGGAAAGCGGTCTTTGAAGGGCCATGGCAGACACCACTGTGCCTCCAAATATCTCCACCATTCTAGGACCCCATGAGTAATTTGAGGATGGGACCTGGGGTGGTAGTTGTTTGAAGTTGTTTTGTGACTTGGAGAGCTTTTTTGTTAGTACCTGCCTGAGATGGTAGTGTTTGCCTGGGGAAGGCAGTAACTTTTATGGCTTCAGGACTTTAAAGCAATTTATGTTTTTCGGGATTGAGACCGGATCTTCGACTTAGTAAAATTAGGTTCTGCATTCTCCTCCTTCCTCGTTCCCACCCTCATATTTTCAGCTTTCAGGGTACTGATCGCTAGAAAGTTTTGGGTAAGAAAGCTTAAAGATGAAGTAAAATAAAATTTGAATAAGATTATTTCTTTTCTCTCTTATTCTACAATTTGATGCTGCTTTTGAAAAATTGGCAGTAAACGTTTAAATGAGGAAATGTGAAGCATAGAGTCAGGAAGAGTTAAGTTATGCAGAAGTTAAGTAGATTTGTTAAACTTTTCTAAATTTACCTGGAAGAGAGAGAAAGAGGTCAGAGAGTTAGAATAAGTACAAAGGGGCAATCCAGAGAGGGCCTGTCTGGGACAAAAATCAAGTGATAACCAAAGCCCTGCACTTTACTTATTTTGACTAACAAAAAGAATAAGAAAGCAAAAAACCTCTAACTACTCCATTAGAAATTTCTAGCGATGAAGTGAAAAACCTATGAATTTTGATGGCATCAAATTACTTTCTTGTTGGTTTTAGGAAAAGTTGATCATTTGGAAAAGACTGCCAGAGTTAGAAATGCAAGGGGGCAAAGGAAAGTAAGGGTGAAAGCCAGTGCTTGACGTGGACGAAATGAGAATGAAAGTTTCTGAACTGCATTCACTGTTTTTGAAGTTCTTACATGATGTGCATTCAACTAGAAAGCTGTCTCAGATATTCCACCACATTAATGTAAAAAAGCAAACAAACTCCAAAATGGTGAGAATTTTTTTTAATAGTATGCCAGGGCTGTGAATAAATACAGGGTTTGTATGAGAAAATGAAGTATTTCCTGTAAGTTGTCATGCTGACAACACTGTCTGGAAATAATACTAGTATTTTAAAGATTTTACTTTTTACTTTTATGTGAGAGTTTATTAATGACTTGATTTATCCAGCAAGTCAAATCCATTCTTCTTTGAGCTTATCTCTTCTCTTCTTTCTTTCTTTCTTTCTTTCTTTTTTTTTTTTACAATGCCCTTCATTGAAAAATCTGCAGAGTTAATAACCTACAGAGCCATCAGGTTGCTGAAGTTATAGGATTATTTCTGGGAATTATTTATATACAAACAAAACTAGGAGGAAAAATACATACATTGTCAAGATTATGACTTAGCTCTCTAAATAACAGGCATTCTGAAAATCATACTAATAGTCTAATAGAAAACTAGCGCCTCATATCTAAGTATTACAGCTGCTATGATATATACAAATGAATATGTTGTTCATGTATATGTAAATATAACATATCTATATGTACATCATAAATATGATTGAATTCATTCAAGGCTGATGGGTACAGGCAGCACAGTAAGTTTCTCCTCTCTCTTCTCCCCCCCCATTTATATTTGTAACTATTCCTTTAGCTTTTGGACTCTGATGTTTGGGTACTTCTTAAAGTTTTGCCTACTATCTAAAACCGTATTTTAAAATATAATCTTAAAACAAATTGTCATATGCAGTTGTGAGGGCTTAGATTCTTTTAGAACTAAAAGTGTCTAAGATGATAGGATTGAATGAAGCTTTTTTTTATGAATTCAAGATTTTCCTATGTACTAACATAAAAAGAAAAATAAAAATTCCAGGTGAGTCTATGAATCTTCACTGAATAATGTAACTTCTTGCTATATTTTAAGTATTTAATCTTAATATAGTTTGTGTTATACATTGCTACCGAATTTGCTGAGTATATTAATGTCCATATTATATGTTTACTTTATAAAGACATCATGATAATCCTCAGGGGAAGGGAATGAATGCATCTGTGACAAAAGACATTTTTTAAAATCTTAGCATTACAGTCCTATTTCATTTTTTGTGTATGCAAAGGGATAATTCAAAATTTGCAGCTAATGATCTGCAGATTTATATTAAGCCATCCCAATCATGTATTGTTTTAATAAACTCTCATCTTATCGTCTTTATCTTTATCCAAGTAAATAGACACTGTTGAAAGTTAGGTGTATGATTTTTTTTTAAGTTATAAAGGCATGTTGCTGAACCTCAATCTTAATTCCTATTTTGAAATTTGTATTAATGACAGATTTTAAACGTTTTAAGGTTTAGAAGAATCATTTTGATTTTAAGTCACTTTTTGATAGTTACACTCATGATGATGCTACAACAAAGCTTTTGTGTGTAACAACAAGAAATAGAAAAACTTTAAGACAGTTATTAGCAAGTTGCTAGTATAAAGGGAAAGAGAAAAAGCTTGCATATTAGGGATAAGTGATGAACTTGAAATGTAATCACTGACACAACTGAAATATATTCTGATTAAGATATTCTTCTAGTGTATAAAATGAAGCCATTCATTGACAGATTGACAACTTTCCAGTTGCTATTTGCCTTCACTTAATTTAGTTTCCATAGGACAACTAGTGTGGTAGTCTGGATCTTTTTTGGCAGGCACAGGAAAGTATAAACTCAGAAAATTCTGTCTCAAATATTACATCTCACAAGTCAAAATCAGGCTGATAAAAGTAAGCAAGTATTCACAGAAAGTTTCACAGGCTTTTCTTCTGTCGTTAAAACTTCATTTAGTTGTCAGACAAGACTCCCCCTCTCCCCTCCCTTTTTCAACTGTATTCAAAAATATTAATGATATTGATGATGAATTCTAAATTTTATTTCCTGTTCATCCTTCTTATAAATAATGGTCTGTTGATTTCTGGAGAAATTCATCACAGCATTTCTAGACCTGGTCTTAATATTTTTGTATATACATAAGATAAATAAAGTTGTCTTTTTCAATTGTTTTAAAGAAAGAAATTAATTCTTTTAATAGTATCATTATAATGGTTTGTGGAATGATAATATCCCTCATAGGAGGTTATGAAAAGTTTATTTTAACTTTGGAAATTAAGAATAGAATGTTTTTCTCACTAAGCACACTTATAATTCAGATACATATACAAAGAATTGAAAACCTCTAAAAGTACTATTTGTCCCCAAAAAAGGCCGAAGTTAGCATCTCCACTTTCATGCTCAAAAGCTTTAAACTAACTTGCGACTATTAAATGTTCAACATTTCAATGTTTTTTTTTAATTACATGTCGTAGAAAGATGTATGTAAGTCAAATCAACAAGCCATTTGTTTATTTGTGTAGAATGCAAATATGGCATTGCTGGAAATATGTTCATACTGTTGCTTTAGTAACACTAATATATCCATCCATCGAACTGTCACCCAGCTGAGTTTGTGATCACAGGTGAAGTAAGTAAGTTCCTCTTGGCATACTATGTTGTATCACTAAAAGCATGATTTAGTGTAAATTAGGCAGGGTTATCTGTGTTAATGGTGGGTCCAGAACTGATTTTGTAGAAATGTCTAGATAAAGAGAATTCATGTGAATTGGCAAGAGTTAGGTAAAGAAATCGGCATGATACCTGCAAATAGTTCTATAGTGAATTCTTTTATTTCAATCCAGTTTTCATTTTCTAAAGTACAACTGCAAATATCAAAACTCATTTGAACTTATCCATGAATTGGATAAGCTTTGAAGCCATCTTTAGGATTTATTTTCTACTGAAAAAGTTGTCATCTAAATACAGATGATCTTTTTCTTTAAAAAAAATCGACAAACTAATCTAAGATAAATTTCTTTCCTAAATACTTTTAATAAAAACTTTTAATTTTTAAAATGTTTCTAACTCTTTAAAAACCTGCAGTAAATGCTTTACAAGTGGCGAGACACCTTCCCTGGTGGTTTAGTTTATACAAGCAGGAAACTTTCTCTCCTACTCTTTCTTTCTCTCTTTCTTGTTTTCTTTAAACCAACTGACGTAATGCCAAACTTTGCTTTAAAAGAACAGACAGAAGTAATTGGTAGCTTTTAACTTTTAATAATGTTCTGGATTGGTTTTAGTGGCCAAAATACCATTTTTTTTAATTCAAGTAAAAACGGGCTTGTGGCCTGAGGAAGAAAGGCTCTGTTGATGCAGTTATTTTTATTCTTGTTTTTCAATCTGTTATTAAAAATCTTTCCTGCTGAGCTCTGCTGGATTTCTCCAATTGCTCTTTGTGATGGCTGGTGCATTTCAGGTTACAGTAACTTAACAGTTTGGGGATTTGGTTTTTTGGTGGCTATTGGAGTTTCATTCTCTTCTTTTCATTTGGAGAAACCATTTGTTTTGTTTTATTCCAGATAAATAAATTAATGTTAACTCTATTGACCATTCAGTGAGTATATTTCTATAAAGGAATGTTCCACCTGTTAGTGAGTCTAACTGTGATGTTAATGATTTTTAAGTGCATAAGAAGGAAAGCATGCGGCATTTCTTGTGGCATACTCTTTTTTTTAAACATTGGAAGTATTAACAAATAAGACAAAAATGTTTTTACTGGTAGACTTTTCCCCTTGTTTTTACATCACAGATGATGTGTTCATGCTTATTTATTTCCTAGACTTTTTAAAATCCTCATTTTATTTATTGCCTTTTCATCTCCTGTTGGCCTTCCTCAAACAAGAAGAACTTTCTCCAACTAAGTATGAGTATGACAAAAAACACCTAGGTGATGTTGATTGACGTCA